ATCCTGATGACCTGGACACTCTTTATTTTTCAGTGTGTGTGTGTGTGTGTGTGTGTGTGTGTGTGTGTCTGTGTGGGGTGGTGACGCACAACCCTTCTGGCGGGTTCCAGCCCCCAGGTCTCCGGAGCTGCGCCTGGAGCCTCTGAACTGCACCACCCTGTCCGTGCGGTGGCAGCGTGATGCCGCAGACCCTGCTGCCATCCAGGGCTACAAGCTGTTCTACAAGGAGGAGGGGCAGCAGGAGCACGGACCCATCATGCTGGGCCCTGGCGAGCTCCTGCACACGCTCAGTGGCCTGGGTGAGTGCTCTCCAGACACTGGGGAGAAAAGTATCAGCTCCCAGAGGAGAAGGGGCTCCAGACACAGGGACGGTCTGGCTTTGCTGCCACCATGCCTCTGCGGCACAGGGCCTGTGCTATGCAAACGTGCTCTCTGGAGCTCACTCCAGCTGTGTGAGCTTTCAGTCCGTCATGGGGAAGTGTTGTGATACGTGGGGAACAGGAATTTCACCAAGTGATTGGACAGTCACCAAGTAGAACTCGGAATTTGCCTGAGCACGCTACACAAACGTAAACTAATTTATGTAATTATGTATGAAATACTGCCCTTCCCTCTGACCCAGTAACCACCGATATTTACGTCCCCTAGTTCTGACTCAAGGATGCTGGAGGTAAAACACTTACCTCCCGTTTGGGTTCCGAGCCTTCTAAGGCATTGTGCCCTGTTTTTCCTGTCTGCAGAAGTAAAGAATTTTCTGTCAGCCTGTATAGTAAAAAGTTAAGGGGGGCCTGGCCCTAGCTCAGTCCTTTAAGTGGCTGCTTCCACAAAGCTGTCAGCCTCAGGTTGCTGGAGTTCGAACCTCACAACTCTCCAGCTGGCCAAAAGTGCCCTGAAGGCATTCGAGGAACAAAAAAAAAAAAAAAAAAATCCTTATTCCATTTTTGGGGCTGGGGAGATGGCTCAGTGGAATTAGCACTTCCCTGGCAAGCGCTAATTCAATCCCCTGAGTTCAATCCCCGGTTCCGCCAAAAAAAAAAAAGTTAAGATATATGTATCTAAAGCAGGCCCCTTGCCAGGTTGACACCCCCCCCACCAGCACCAGGCATCACTCTATTCTGTTGCCCCCAGCTGCCCCCCCTGCATCGTATGAAACCCAGCTTCCAGCTCCCAGCGCCCAGCTCCCAGTGCCCAGCTCAGCAGCACCAGGGCAAGCCAGCAGCGGAGCACCAGGGGGTCCTGCACTCATCAGAGTTTTCCAGATGGTGTTTGCCTTATAATCTGATCAGATTGCTTTTAATTTAATCTATTTTGGGTTAAGTAAGTTTGGCTGTGGCTCTGTCACCTGACTAACTGGTAAGGAGAAGCCCAAGATGTCCCATCTGGCCCTCGCTGTGCAAGGGGCTGCTGCAGAGTCTGTCGAGCTTGGTGTCCTCAGTCCTGGCATTTGCTTTGCCTGGGCCCCCTCGTGGTTCAGAAACATTTTACTCTGGATCAGCAAGAAGCAGGAGTCAGTACAGTAGTTAAACCATGGATCAGAGCTGTACTTCTGGTTTCCTGTTGGGGAAGAATAGATCTGTAGAAGATACCTAAAAGCACATTCCTCTCCTACTGTGCTCTTGAACATACGCTGCAGCTAGCTTGCTGTAGAGGTGGAAGTTTAGAAGAAAACAGGGCCCTGCTTATAAAACTTAGAGAAGCTCTGAGCTGCAGCGCTGGTGTGCTGGGCAGGCTCACGTGCCATTCACCCTGGGGCTGGGTTCCCTCCGGGGCCTTTCAGCCTGAGAGCCAGGCCCTGCTGCAGGCAGAGGCAGGCGAGGATGTCAGCCAGGCCCGGGCAGCTCCTGTGCTGCCCTCGTGTCTAACTGGCCGCTGACCATCTGTGACCGTCTGTGCCAGAGCATCTGGCAGTGCTGCCTGGTCATCAGAGAGTGATGGGTCGAGGGCAGCAGGTTAGGGGTGCTTTGTGTCCCGCAGGGTGATCCTTGATGCCCCTGAGCTTTTGCACATGAAAGGTGCCCTGGCTGGCGCCAGATTTACTAAGTGGGCTCAGAAATGAGATTAAACGCTTTTGTTTGCTGATTCCCTGTCAATTTGAGTAACAGACTGATGGCTTACAACTTCATTTTCATACTAATCCCCATCCTGATGACCTGGACACTCTTTATTTTTCAGTTCCTTTTTTTTTTTTTAATGTGTTTGGTACAGGGTCTCACTACAGCTCAGACTCATAGTAATTGTCCTGTTTTCAGCCTCCCTGGCGCCGGGACCGTACTAGTCTGGGTCACAGGCTCCGTGCACTGGGGGTGGGGCAGTGCAGCATGTGGTGCCAAGGATCAAACCCCAGTCCCTACGGGTTGTGTAAGCAGGCGCCTAGTCTGCTGAGCTATGTCACCAGCCCTATTCTCACTTGTGGTAGTGAAGTTCTCAAAAGTTTACAAAGTGTGATTGGGGCACATTCTCCCTGAGATACATCTTTGTTCAGAAAGGAAAAATACAGTAAGTGGACTTTTGATTCTTTCAGTTCAAAAAAAATCAAATATTTTTGCGTGATTTTCCAAGTCAGGCATTGTAGGGTGATCTGAAGTTGTGACAGATTGAACCAATAGGTATTTCATTGACTACTTTGTCCACTTGCCTCCCAGGTTTCTCATTAAGTTCCTTTGTGGCGAGCAACGAAGGTTACTTTAAAATAACTCCAGGCTTAATTTACCCAGCTGTGGGGTGCTTTGTTTTTGAAAGTGATCGAAGAGGCTCGTGTCCATTTTAGTACTGTGATTAGACCCGCGCAGAGCAGTGGAAGAGCTCAGCGTTGCTGGCTGGTTCGGATTTGACCCTAGAAGTGATTCCCACTTGGGTGTGGCAGCAGCACTGTCCGCGACGCAATGTTCTGCCTTCGCTTTGGCGTCTCTCATCTTCGTTGTTATTTCCCTTGAGTTTGGCTTCTCAGCACTTTCTGTGACTGGCTGGTTGTTGGCTAGATGTGGGTTGTATTCACCACAGTATAAACTGAAGCAGAATACATCACACGCTTGTGCTCACTGACAACGGACAAACAAAACCAAAAAATTCTCCTTTGGAAATTGGCTTTGAATTCTGAACTTGGGAGTTTCTAAATACAAAGGGACTGTTTTCTGATTTGGTCTTCATGTAGTAGAATGTGAAGGGTAAGATTACTTAGATGTTACTGTTGCTGACTTAAAAGCGAGGGTGATATGTCCGGTCAGCTGAGCTTGTATTTGCCAAAGAACTTACTATCTTTAGCTTCGTAGCAAGGTGACTAAGTGAGCACCAAATACAAAGCTCCAGAACATTTAACAAGCAACGTGTGTGCTTCACAGGCCCTCAAAACCCACTGCCTGCCTGCTTGATTAGAAATCCCTGAGTGGAATTTCGCCCTTGGGTTTTTTTTTGTTTGTTTGTTTTTTATAAATAAAAAAAGTATGCTAGCATTTTATTTCTTTTTTATTTTTTCATAATGGTACTTCATTATTTTTACGTCAGAATTATTACTAAATTGCCTTCCCTTTTGGAAGAACTTTGGATGATTATGCATGCCTGCCGCACTGGATATCCCCTTGAAATTTTTTTTTTCAAAGTTTTATTGATAAACAGCAATGAGACAGTTTCAAATCAAATCGGAAGTACAGTTTCAACAAATAATACACTGCATATATTCTTCTTAGTGGTTAATTG